AGACCCTGATTTAAATTAAAAAGCAAGATGGGGAAGGTGGCGGGAAGCTGTAGTGGCAGCTACTTAGGAGGCTGAGGCGGGAGGATCACCTGAGCCCAGGAGTTCCAGTCCTGCCTAGTCCACATAGAGAGTCAACGTCTCTAAAAAAATAAAATTAAAAAGCAAGATATCCAGTTATTTCTCTTCAGCATACCTGACTGTTGCATAACATTGCGTCTATTCTATTCTCTTTTAATCTCTTTCATTCTTTGAATCTTCACAGCAATCCTAAAGGGAAATACTAGTTATGAACCCGTTTTGCTAATCCTGGGACTAAAAGGAAATGTCCAAGTAACTGACTGGTCGTCACAGAGGTAAACGGTTGTGCACTGATTTAAATCCAGCCAGCCTCTAAAAGGAAAGTGCCCATGATCAAGCCTTCCTTTGGCCCAGGTATCTGGTCAACACTTCTCTATTGCTGGAAATGTTCTAAACAACAGGGGCCGGCCCGGCCGCTCACACCTGTAATCCCAGCACTTAGGAAGGCCGAGGCGGATGAATCAACTGAGGTCAGGAGTGGGAGACCAGCCTGGCTAACATGGCGAAACCCTGTCTCCACTAAAAATACAAAAATTATCCTGGCGTGCTGGTGGTTGCCTGTAATCCCAGCTGCTCAGGAGGTTGAGGCAGGAAAATCACTTGAACCCGGGAGGCAGAGGTGGCAGCTTGGGCCATTGCACTCCAGCTGGGCAAAGAAGGTGTGGTCTGTCTCAAAAAATAGAGGAAAAAAAAAAAAAAACAAATAAACAACAGGAAGCTACCAGCTCTATGATGGACAGTGGCAAAAGCGATCCATAAGTGTAATACACACACACACACACACACACATTAATTTGGGGCTATCTTCCATGTGTGGGACAAGATTGATTTTCACTTTCTCTGATGGAAAAGAGTTTAATTTTCATAAAAATATGTTTATGAAAGTATTAACCACTTCAGTGTAAAATATCAACTAAAAGATGATGCAGGTGGTAACAGAAAGGGCAGTCATTCTTCTGTATCTGACATGAAGCACAGAGTCTTGCTCATAGCTTTATCACCCTAGTGTTGATTACAATTTTGTGGGAACACTGAATGGCTCTCTCTGGACCACAGGACATGTGCTCATGTGGCAGATGAGAATAACAGGATACACAGCTGAGCACTCCAGGTCTCTGTGTGCAAATAAATAAATAAATATCTCATATGCTCCATAAAATGATTTTAAAAAAAGCAATAGCTAATATTGTAGAGCACCCACCCCTCACACCATTCTAAGTTGCTTATAGGCACTAAATCCTTTAATCCTATAAGCCAGAAGTTAGTATTATTCCCCTTGTACAGTGAGGAGACTGAGTCATAAACAGGTTGTGTCATGCAGCTAAAAGTAACAGAGGTGGGATTTGCACTCATGCATGATGACCACAGCATCATACTCGCCCATCACCCTCTGCCACCAAGTTACATGAATGATAAGGACAGGGAAAACCTAGCACAGAAACATCAGTAGGAAGTGCACTCTGTGGACAGTCATGCACAGCTCTGTGGCCTCTCTGGGCTTCACTTCTCATCTGTCAAGCCAAGAGCAACGTTCCTCCATCCCAAAGAGCCTTGGTATCTTTGAACTGAGATAGGCCAGATTTAGCATCCAGTGGCATCATAATCTACCAGCTGTGGCCAGGGCCACAGATCAGGTGTAGCATAGGTTCATTCATCCCTTCATTTCTGAGCTATATGACATTTGATATGTTACTTAACTAATCTGGAAGACAACATAAGCACTCCAGGCCCTGCATATTTGCTGTCCCAGTCTTGAGGCCTGTGGCTGTCGTTCCTGAGGTCATGTGATCAGACGATATGAAGGATGGAAATGGATTTTATGTCTGCTCAAAGGTGGGGGCAGCATCTTATTGAAAAGCATTTTCTGTAGAAGGTCATCCACACTCCTCCTGGCAGGGTCAGCTTGGTTGCAATTCCATTCTCAGCATCCAATCCACACCAATGCTTTCAAACCCATAAGGTTTCTCTTAGCTTTGGGATTTAACAGGATTCATTTTCCAAAAAAACCAGTGTATAGAGAATGATCATAACTGCTATTATTTATTAAACCCTAGCCAGGGGCCAGACCATGTTGTCATTTAATCGCTGCTTTGAGATATAATCTGGTTTCTACAAATAAGGATCTGGAGGCTCAGAGAGTTTCAGTGATGCACTCAGGCCACACAGCCAGTACATAGTGAGGTGGGCTGTGAACCAGGACTGCCTGACACCAAAACCTGTGCCCTAGGCGCAGGCTGCCTTCTGAAGTCTCCTCTTCACAGGGAAGCAGTGGGCAAGCGTGCTCCTGACCTCTAGGCCAGGAGGATCATCTTCCTCTTTGACTGAATGTCAAATAGCGTTCCCTCCACATAGCCAGGGGAACTGATTGTTGGCTTTAATTACAAGTCAGCCAGGGCCTCACTCTTTCCTAATGAGCACCACTGCATCCTCCAAACTGCAGAATCCGCTGTCATTCCTGCATGGGCAGACGCGAAGTATTTCATGTGGAACCCATGATCACACACACTTCATTTTGCCAGGAACATGCTGTGCATGTCCTTCCATATTCCCAGTCACTTTACTGGTTGGAAGTAGTCAAGGGCTGAAATTTGAAAGAAGGGCAAATTCAGCCTGAGTTTGGGAGGAAATTCCAAAGATTCAGAGCCAAGTCACAACAGGGAGTCTGTTGTCCAGGCTGGAGTCCAGTGTCGCAATCTTGGCTCACTGCAAACACTGCCTCCGGCGTTCAAGTGACTTTTCTGCCTCAGCCTCCCGAGTATCTGGGATTACATGCAATCATGCCCAATTAATTTTTGTATTTTTAGTAGAGATGAGGTTTCATCATGTTGGCCAGGGTGGTCTTGAACTCCTAGCCTCAAGTGTTATGCCCACCATGGCCTCCCAAGTGCTGGGATTAGAGGCCTGAGCCACCACAACTGGTCTAGTTTGCTATTTCTGGTCTGCAATGAACGTCATCATATGTTCAAAGTTTGTACATCTTTCATTTCCTGTTATTTATTGATTTTTTTTTTTTTTTTTTTGAGACGGAGTCTCGTTCTGTCGCCCAGAGTGCAGTGGTGTGATCTTGGCTCACCGCAAACTCTGCCTCCCTGGATCACGCCATTCTCCTGCCTCAGCCTCCTGAGTAGCTGGGACTACAGTCGCCTGCCACCACATGAGGCTAATTTTTTTGTATTTTTAGTAGAGACGGGGTTTCACCATGTTAGCCAGGATGGTCTGGATCTCCTGACCTCATAATCTGCCCACCTCAGCCTCCCAAAGTGCTGGGATTACAGGTGTGAGCAACCACACCCGGCTATTTATTGAATTATTTCTCATTGAATCTGAAAAATGACTTTTGTATTTTATGTTGTGAAGGGGTGGCCTGCCCCTCCACACCTGTGGGTGTTTCTCGTTAGGTGGAACGAGAGACTTGAGAAAAGAAATAAGAAACAGAGACAAAGTATAGAGAAAGAAAAGTGGGGACCCAGGGGACCGGCGCTCAGCTTACAGAGGACCCACGCCGGCCCCGGCCTCTGAGTTCCCTTAGTATTTTGATAATTATCTTTACCATCTTAAAGATAAGGGAGTGGCAGGACAATAGGATCATTGTAGGGAGGAAATCAGCAGTAAGACATATGAACAAAAACCTCTGTGACATGAGTAAGTTTAAAGGAAAATGCTGTGCCTTGAGATGCATATGCAAACATCTCCATAAACCTTTTAGCATTATTTCAGCCTATCACATGGGGAGAAACCTTGGACAACACCTAGCTTTCCTAGGCAGAGGTCCCTGCGACCTTTGGCCGTGTACGTGTCCCTGGGTAGTTGAAATTAAGAGAATGGTGATGACTTTTAACCAGCAAGCTGCCTTCAGGCACTTGTTTAACAAAGACACATCCTGCACAGCCCAAAATCCATTAAACCTTGAGTCACCGCAGCACATGTCTCTTGCAAGGACAAGGTTGGGGGTAGGGTCACAGATTAACAGCATCTCAAATACAGAACAAAATGGAGTCTCTCACGTCTACTTCTTTCTATATAGACACAGTAACAGGCTGATCTCTTTCTATTTCCCCACAATGTTGTATTTCATTATCTCCATAATCAATACTATTACATTTACCAAGGTTTAAGCCTGTGATAGATAGGAAATAAAAACTGTCCCTTCACAGTGTTTGAAAAGCCCCATTGGGTTAGCCTGTTTGCGTCGTTATAAGGGAATCCCTGAGACTAGGTAATTTACAAAGGAAAGTTTGTTATGACTTCCGCTTCTGCAGGCTGTGCATAAGTGTGGTACAGGCATCTGCCTTTGGTGAGGGCTGCAGGAAGCCTGCAATCCTGGTCGAAGACCAAGCGAGAACAGGCACAACACGTGGGGAGACAGGGAACAAGAGAGAAAAGGGGACAGTGTCTGACTCTTAAACAGCCAGCTCTTCCTACCAGAGGAAGAACTCACTCTTCACCATGGGATGGCACCAAGCCATTCTTTAGGGATCTGTCCTCATGACCCTGAAACCTCCCACTAGATCCCATCTCCAATATCGGAGGACACATTTCAACATGAGATTTGGTACTGACAAAACATCCAAATCATGGCACCCACGTAGGATTCAAGGAACTAAGGAGTTGGGTTCCAGCACTGTACTACTTTTAAGCCTAAAATCCAATTTGGATCTGAAGTTGGGCAAGAAAATCAGAAAATAAAAATGAATGAAGTTTCTGTGCCACATTGACATGAGACAGGAAGCGATCATGTATGACTCCCACCCATATGGTGTGCACAGTGTAATACCATTTTATAAAAGTGTAAACTCAGTAGCTGGCCTGAAGGTGTTCACATTGTTGGTGGCTCCCATTTCCATCCAGAGCCTGGTCTCTAAACTCCTGGTTTAACACCCAACCCAGTCCATTTTTTCCAAGGTGCACAAAGAAGACCAGAGTAAGATTCAAGTCAAAATTCTTTTATGACAATAAAACAATCACATATTTAATATAAAAAGAAATGCAGAAAATGGCTCAGGGTTGTATTAAAAAAAAATCCAGGTTGTGAAGTTTGCTCTATTTACATCTGGGAGCAGAGCTGTCCCCACATCAGGCACAGCAGCTGCACTTCTCCGACGCCCCTTTGCAGACGCAGCCCTGGGCACACTTGGCACAGCCCACGGGGCAGCAGGAGCAGCAGCCTGGGGAAGAAGGGAAGAGTGAGAGTGGCAGTAGACTGGACCAGCCGCCTCCCTGTTCCAATAGCAAGCTTGGCTCGAGCTCAGACGCCAGATCCAGAGGACGCTTTTTTTGTCTGGCACAGCTGTATTCTGAAACCATAGGGGGTACAGTTGAGGTTTGTGTCCCAAGAGAAACACGTTTCCCTGCTCCATCTGAACTCAGGGCAGAAAGCATGGAGAGGGAATGACATGGCCAACAGGGGCAAAGAAATCCCAGTTCCCCAGAAGGATGCACTCACTGGCAGCCTTGGGTTCCCTCCCAAACTTAGCCACAGCCCCAGATTCCTGGAGATGGCCCCTCACTCACTCTTCTTGCAGGAGGTGCATTTGCACTCTTTGCACTTACAGGAGCCGGCGCACGTGCAGGAGACACCTGCAAGGAAGAGAAAAAGGCAGTGGGCAGTGAGTGAGATGCAGAAGGTACAGCAGCGGGTCAATGAGTCTCCAGTGCCCCCTCCTCTGTGCAGGGCCAGCCCTCAGAGCTCCTTTCCCACTCAGGACAGAGGAACAGAAGCCGCATGTCCTCTCCACTCACGCTGGGAAGGGCAAGCACCTTCCTGTTTACCCCACCAGGAAGCTCCCAGGTGCAAACCCAACCCAGGAATACTGAGATTGCGAGCTAGAACCTTCTGTCCTGAACCCTGAAGACTCAATATCTCCAGCCCCCCATCCACCCTGATTGCTGAGCACTGGAGCCCAGCCAGCAGGACCCTGACCAACTGGGTGATGTTCAGCCTTGAGCCTCAGTATCCTTAAGTCTGAGGTAGAGGCCCAGGGAGGAGGGCAGTGCTCTCAGGGGCGTGATCAGGAAGAAAGCACCTAACGAAGTAAAGGAGTCCTCTTCCGCTCAGAAGTTAAAGTGCGACCTCCTAAAACCCAGAGATCCTCTGTACTGGAGCTGGGAAATGGGGATCCCAGGGCGCAGAGACGCGCTTCCTTTACCAGCGGTGCAGGAGCAGTTGGGGTCCATTTCGAGCCAAGGAGATGCTGGAGCTCCCACCAAAGACTCGAACGGGAGGTCCAGGCAGCTGGAATGCGAGCTGGAACCCTGCAGCCGGCTGCTCCTCTTTTAGACCGAGGTGGGGCCGGGTGCAGAGGTCCCGCCCCGCGCTTGCTCCCGCCCCTCTCAGTGCGCGCTGCCCACGTTCCCGGGCTGGGCTGCGCGCAGCAAAAGAGCCGGGCGCACCATACCCTGAGCTCTGCGCCGTGCTCAGCGTGGGACCGCCTCCTTTTTTCGGGAGCTCGCGCGGGAAAGGGCTGTGCGGCTGGCTTCCCAGAGGTCCACGCCGGTTTCCCAGTTTCCCCGCGGTTGTTTACCAGCTTTCTCCCCGCGTGTTCCGGGACCCCAGCCTTGGCGTCGCTGTCTTCACTCCACCCCTCCCACCGTTTTCAGCTGGGCCTGTCCCAGAGCCCGTGTGCAGCCCTCTTGCTCCCGTCCCGGGATCGGCTGAGTGCCGAGCGGGGCGCGTGCGGTAGCGAGCGAGTTGTGTGCAGAGCACCCGCCACCGATGTGGCTTTCGTTTCACCTAGTCCCCCGCCTTGCCTGTCCCTGTCTACACTGCGGTCCCTCGGACCCCCTCCTCCGTACACAGCAACACGGGGAACACGGGTCGGCCTCTCTCTCCCGTCCATTCTCCTCGCCTGAGAGGATGTGTGGGCACATTTGTCCAGGTCCTCGTTTGCAGATAAGTCTCCATGCTCCCCACAGCCTAACGGGCCACCACAGTACCGCCTGGCAGTTCTGGACATGTGGGATGTCCCCAAAGAGAGATGACTTCAGATGATATGCTGACCGTGCTTTACATTAAAAAGCAAGATGGGTGAGGTGGCAAGAAGCTGTAGTCCCAGCTACTTAGGAGGCTGAGGTGGCAGGATCACTTGAGCCCAGTAGTTCGAGTCCAGCCTGGACAACATAGAGAGTCAACGTCTTTAAAAAAATACAATTAAAGGCCGGGCGCGGTGGCTCACGCCTGTAATCCTGGCGCTTTGGGAGGCCGAGACGGGCGGATCACGAGGTCAGGAGATCGAGACCATCCTGGCTAACACGGTAAAACGCCGTCTCTACTAAAAATACAAAAATTAGCCGGGCACGGTGGCGGGCGCCTGTAGTCCCAGCTACACGGGAGGCTGAGGCAGGAGAATGGCGTGAACCCAGGAGGCGGAGCATGCATTGAGCTGAGATCGCGCGCCACTGGACTCCAGCCTGGGGAACAGAGCGAGACTCCGTCTCAAAAAAAAAAAAAAAAAAAAAAAAAAAATTAAAAAGCAAGAGATACAGTTATTTCTCTTCAGTATAGCTGACTATTGCATAACGTAGAGTCTATACCAGTCCCTTTTTAATCTCTTTCATTCTTTGAATCCTCACAGCAATACTAAATGGAAATACTATCTATGAGCCCGTTTTGCTAATCACAGGACTACAAAGAAAAGAGTCCAAGTAACTGGCTGGTCTTCACAGAGATAAAAAGCTGTGCACTGATTTAAATCCAGCCAGCCTCTTAAAGGAAAGTGTCCATGATAAAGCCTTCCTTTGGCCCAGGTATATCATCAACACTTTTGTACTGCTGGAAATCTTTTAAACAACAGGGGCTGGGCAAGGTGCCTCACACCAGTAATCCCGGCATTTAGGAAGGCTGTGGCAGATGGATCACCTGAGGTGAGGTGTTCGAGACTAGCCTGGCTAACATGGTGAATCCCCGTCTCCGCTAAAAATACAAAAATTGGCTGGACATGGTGGCAGTCTCCTGTAATCCCAGCTCCTTGGGAGGCTAGACAGGAGAATCACTTGAACCTTGGAGGCAGAGGTTGCAGATTGCGCCATTGCACTCCAGCTGGGTGGCAAGTGCAAAATTCTGTCTCAAAAACAAAAACAACCAAAAAAATCCCCAAATAAGCAACAGGAAGCTATCAGCTCTACCATGATTGCAAAAGCAATCCGTAAGTGTAATACACATACACACATATTAATTTGGGGCTATCTTCCATGTGTGGCACAAGATTGATTTTCATTTTTTTCTGGCGGAAAAGAGTTTGCTCTTCATAAAAGTACGTGTAAGAAAATAATCATTTCTGTATAAAATATTAACTAAAAGATGGTGCAAGTAGTAACAGAAAGGGCAGTCATTCTTCTGTATCTGACATGAAATTTGAAAGAAGGGCAAATTCAGCCTGAGTTTGGGAGGAATTTCCAAAGATTCAGAGCCCAGTCACAACAGGGAGCTCTCAGGGGTCAGCGAGTGTCCTGTCAGTGACACTGGGCAGACCAAGCCTGATGGTTCCTTGCGGGGATGTGCTGGGCAGTGCTGCTCAGTGGGCAGTGCTCACTGGGGCCATTTTGCTGTTTCCTTTCTTTTCTTTTTTTGAGACAGCATCTCAGTTGCCCAGGCTGGAGTGCAGTGGTGCAGTCTTGGCTCATGGCAACCTCTGCCTCCGAGGTTCAAGCGATTCTCATAAGCTTCTGCAGGCTGTGCAGAGTGTGGTGCTGGCATCTGCCTCTGGTGAGGGTCGCAGGAAGCCTACATTCCTGGCAGAAGGCCAACAAGGATGAGGCACATCTGGTGGAGAGACAAGAAAAAAAGAGAGAAAAAGGGAGGGTGTCTGGCTCTTTTAAACAGCAAGCTCAGGAGTGAAATACCGGAGGAAGAACTCACACTTCACCATGGGATGGCACCAAGCCATTCTTTAGGGATCTGTCCTCATGACCCCAAAACCTTCCACTAGTTCCCACCTCCAATATTGCAGGTCACATTTTGACATGAGATTTGGCAGTAACGAAACATCCAAATCATAGCACCCATGTAGGATTCGAGGAACTGGGGGTTGGGTTCCAGCACTGTAGCCACTTTATTTTTGAGATGGAGTCTCTCCCTGTTGCCCTCATTTTCCGCCCTGTGCAATGGTGGATTTCGGCTCACTGCAACCTCTGTCTCCCAGGTTCAAGCGATTCTCCTGCCTCAGCCTCCCCAGTAGCTGGGATTATAGCTACGTGCCATCACGTGCAGCTAATTTTTTATATCTTTAGTGGAGACAGGGTTTCACCATGTTGGCCAGGCTGGTCTCAAACTCCTGACCTCGTGATCCGCCCACCTGGCCTCCCAAAGTGCTGGGATTATAGTAGCCACTTTTTTTGTTTTTTTTTGAGATGGAGTCTCTCTCTGTCGCCCAGGCCGGAGTGCAGTGGCGCGATCTGGGCTCGCTGCAAGCTCCGCCTGCCAGGTTCACGCCAGTCTCCTGCCTCAGCCTCCTTAGTAGTGGGACTACAGGCGCCCGCAACCACGCCGGGCTAATTTTTTGTATTTTTTTTTTAGTAGAGACGGGTTTTCACCCTGTTAGCCAGGATGGTCTCGATTTCCTGACCTCATGATCCGCCCACCTGGCCCACCAAAGTGCTGGGATTTCAGGCGTGAGCCACCGCGCCCGGCCTGTAGCCATTTTTTTTTTTTTTGAGACGGAGTCTCGCTCTGTAGTCCAGGCTGGAGTGCATTGGCGCGATCTCGACTCACTGCAAGCTCCGCCTCCCGAGTTCACGCCATTCTCCTGCCTCAGCCTCCTGAGTAGCTGCGCCCGGCCTGTAGCCACTTTTAAGCCTAAAATCCAATGTGGATCTGAAGTTGAGCAGGAAAATCAGAAAATAAAAGTGAGGAATGAAGTTTCTGCACCACACTTGACATGAGAGTGGAAGTGATCATATATACCCACTCCACCCCCACCAAAATGGTGTGCACAGTGCAATGCCATTTTACAGAAGTGTGAACTCAGTGAGGTAACCTGGCTGGCCTGAAAGTGTTAACATTGTTAGTGACTCACATTTCCATCCAGAGCCTGGTCTCTAAACTCCTGGTTCAACCCCCACCCAGTCCATTTTTTCCAAGACACACAAAGAACAGAATAAGATTCAAGTCAAAATTCTTTTATGACAATAAAACAATCACATATTTAATATAAAAAGAAATGCAGAAAATGGCTCAGGGTTGTATTAAAAAAAAATATCCAGGTTGTGCAGGTTGCTGTATTTACATCTGGGAGCAGAGCTGTCCCCACATCAGGCACAGCAGCTGCACTTCTCCGACGCCCCTTTGCAGACGCAGCCCTGGGCACACTTGGCACAGCCCACGGGGCAGCAGGAGCAGCAGCCTGGGGAAGAAGGGGAGAGTGAGAGGTGGCAGTAGACTGGACCAGGCACCTCCCTGCCCCAATAGCAAGCCTGGCTCGAGCTCAGACGCCAGACCCAGAGGATGCTTTTTTTGTCTGGCACAGCTCTGTTCTGAAACCATAGGGGGTACAGCTGGGGGTTGTGTCCCAAGAGAAAAATGCTTCCCTGCCCCATCTGAACTCAGGGCAGAAAGCATGGAGAGGGAATGACATGGCCAACAGGGGCAAAGAAATCCCAGTTTCCCAGAAGGAAGCGCTCAGGGCCAACCTTGAGTTCCCTCCCAATCTTAGCCACAGCCCCCAGATTCCTGGAGATGGCCCCTCACTCACTCTTCTTGCAGGAGGTGCATTTGCACTCTTTGCACTTGCAGGAGCCGGCGCACGTGCAGGATCCACCTGCAAGGAAGAGAAAAAGGCAGTGGGCAGTGAGTGAGATGCAGAAGGTACAGCAGTGGGTCAGTGAGTCTTCGGTGCCCCCTCCTCTGTGCAGGGCCAGCCCTCAGAGCTCCTTCCCCACTCAGGACAGAGGAACAGAAGCCCTATGTCCTCTCCACTAACACTGGGAAGGGCAAGCACCCTCCTGTTTACCCCACCAGGAAGGTCCCACGTCCACATCCAACCCAGGAATATTGAGATTGCGAGCCAGAACCTTCTGTCCTGAACCCTGAAGAATCAATGTCTCCAGCCCCCTATCCACACTGATTGCTCAGAACCTGGACAGAGCACTGGGGCCCAGCCAGCAGGACCCTGACCAACTGGGAGATGTGGAGCAGTTCAGCCTTGAGCCTCAGTATCCTTAAGTCTGAGGTAGAGGCCCAGGGAGGAGGGCAGTGCTCTCAGGGGCGTGATCAGGAAGAAAGCACCTAACGAAGTAATGGAGTCCCCGTCGCTCAGAACTTTAAATGCGACCTCCTGAAACCCAGAGACCCCCTGTAATAGGGCTGGGAAATGGGGCTTCCAGGGCCTAGAGCTTCCCTTACCAGTGGCGCAGGAGCAGTTGGGGTCCATTTCGAGCCAAGGGGATGCTGGAGCTCCCACCGGTAAGGCAAAAACGCAGTCAGGCAGTTGGAAAGTGCACTGGAGCCCTGCAGCCGGCTGCTCCATTTATAGACGGAGGTCGGGCCGGGCGCAGAGGCCCAGCTCTGCGCCTGCACCCGGCCCGCTGAGTCCGCTCTGCCGGCGATCCTAGGCTGGGCTGTGCGCAGAAGGGCCGGGCGCACCATCCCCTGAACTCTGAGCGGTGCGCACCGCGGGACCGCCCCTTTGACGCCTGTTCGCGCGGGATGGGCTGTGCGCCCGGCGGTACGCGGCGTTCCCGAGGTCCAGGCCGCTCTTCCCGGTTTCCCCGAGGTTGCCTTACACCCTCCTCCCGGCGTGTTCCGGGACCCCGGCCTTGACGTCGCGGGCGTCTCCACCCCACCCCTCGGCCCGAAGTTTTCAGCTCGACCTGTCCAGGAGTCCCTGTGCAGCCCTCCTGCTCCCGTCCCGGGATCTGCTGAGTGCGGAGTGGGGAACGTGCGGTAGCTAGCGAGTTGTGTGCAGAACATCCGCCACCGATGTGGCTTTCGTTTCTCCTCGTCTCCCGCCTTGCCTGTCCCTGCCCACACCGCGGTCCCTCGGACCCACTCCTCCGTACACAGTAACACGCGGAACACGGGTCGGCCTCTCTCTCTCTCGTCCATTCGCCCTGCCTGTGAGGATGTGCGGGCACATTTATCCAGGTCCTCCTTTGTGTATAAGTCTCCAAGCTTCCCACAGCCTTCGGGCCACAATACCGGATGGCAGTTCTGGACATGCGGGATGTCCCCAAAGAGAGATTACTTCAGATGATATGCAGACCCTGCTTTAAATTAAAAAGCAAGCTGGGCGAGGTGGCGCTTACTGCTGTAGTCCCAGCTACTTGGGAGGATCACTTGAGCCTAGGAGTTCGAGTCCAGCCTGGGCAACATAGGGAGTCAACGTCTCTAAAAAAATAAAAAGCAAGATAAATGGTTGTTTCTCTTCAATATTGCTGATCTCTTCAATATTCCAGGCTCAATGCATAACATTGAGTCTGTACTGGTGTCTTAACCACTTGCTTTGTGATCTTAAAGAAAAATATTATTTATGAACCTGTATTACTAAACAGACGGCTACTACAGAGTTAAAGTAATTGGTTCAAGTCACAGAGCTGAGAAGTTGTCACTGATCTGAATCCAACCAACCCCTCAAGAGAAAGTGTTCATGGATCAAGCCTTCCTTTGGCCCAGGTATGTCATCAGCACTTCTCTCTTGCTGGAAAGCTTCTAAACAATGGCAAGCCACAAGCTCAACCATGTGCAGTGGCAAAAGCAATCCATAAGTGTAATACACACACACACACACACACACAAAAACACATTTATAGTTTTCCTGGCTGTCTTCTATGTATGGATAAGACTGATTTTCATTTTTGGAGGTGGAAAAGAGTTTGCTTTTCGTACAAATATATTTAAGAAAATATTAATCATTTAAATATAAAATGGTAAGAAAAGTGTGCAGGTGGTAACAGAAATGCCAGTCATTTTATATCTGACATGAGCGAGAGAATCTTGCTCGTAGCTCGATAACCCTGGGTTGAGGATGATTTTATGGGAGCAATGAATGGCTCTCTTTGGACCACATGACATATGTTCATGTGGTAGATGACAATGACAGTGTATACAGCTAGGCACTCCAGGCCTGGCTTCTTTGTCTGTAAGTAAATAGCCCCCATGCAATGTATAATTATTTTAAAAAAATAATAAAGCAATAACTAATATTGTAGAATGCTTGCCAAGCACCATTCCAAGCTCCTCACATGTATAAAATTCTTTCACCTTACAAGCCAGATGCCATTATTATGCTCCTATTACAGGAGACACAGAGAGGTTGTGAGGCACAGCTAAAAGTGACAGAGGTGGGATGTGCACTCATGCATACTGTCTGCACCATCATGCCCTCACCCATTGTATTAGTTTGTTTTCACACTGCTGATAAAGACATACCCAAGACTGGGGAATCTACAAAAGAAAGGGGTTTAATGGACTTACAGGTCCACATGGCTGGGGAGGCCTCACAATCATGCAGAAAGCAAGGAGGAGCAAGTCATGTCTTACATGGACGGGAGCAGGCAAAGAGAGAGCTTGTGCAGGGAAACCTCCATTTTTAAAACCATCAGATCTCATGAGATTCATTCACTATTACGAGGACAGCACGGGAAAGACCTGCCCCCATGATTCAATTACCTCCCACTAGGTTCCTCCCATGACACTTGGGAATTGTGGGAATTACAATTCAAGATGAGATTTGGATAGAAGCCCAGCCAAACCATATCTTTCTGCCTCTGACCCCTCCCAAATCTCACATCCTCACATTTTGAAACCAATTATGCCCTCCCAACAGTCCCCCAAAGTCTCAACTCACTTCAACATTAACTCAGAAGTCCACAGTCTAAAGTATTATCTGAGACAAGGCAAGTCCCTTCTGCCTATGAGCCTGAAAAATCAAAAGCAAGTTAGTGACTTCCTAGATGCAATGGTAGTACAGGCATTGGGTAAATACAGCAATTTCAAATGGGAGACATTGGCCAAAATGTTTTGGGGCTACAGGCCCCATAAAGGTCCAAAATCCAGCAGGACAGTCAAATCTTAGAGCTCCAAAGTGGTCTCCTTTGACTCCATGTCTCATATCCAGGTCACGTTGATACAAGAGGTGGGTTCCCAAGGTCTTGGGCAGCTCTGCCCCTGTGGCTTTACAGCTCCCCTCCTGGTTGCTTATATGGCTGGCATTGAGTGTCTGTGGCTTTTCCAGGCACATGGTGCAAGCTGTTGGTGGATCTACCATTCTGGGGTCTGGAGGACTGGAGCTGGCCGCCTTCTCACAGCTCCACTAGGCAGTGCCCCAGTAGGGCCTCTGTGTGAGGGCTCTGACCCCACATTGTCTTCCACACTGCCCTAGCAGAGGTCCTCCATGAGGGCCCCACCCCTACAACAAACTTCTGCATTTCCATACAACTTCTGAAATCTAGGCAGAGGTTCCCAATTCCTGACTTCTGTGCACTCATGGGCTCAACATTATGTGGAAGCTGCCAAGGCTTGGGGCTTGCACCTTCTGAAGCCACAGCCAGAGCTTTACATTGGCCCCTTTTAGCCATGGCTGGAGTGGCTAGGATGCAGGGCACCAAGTCCCTAGGCTGCACACAGCACAGGGACCCTAGACCTAGCCCATGAAACCACTTTTTCCTCCTAGGCCTTTGGGCCTGTGATGGGAGGGGCTGCTGTGAAGTCCTCTGACATGCCCTGGAGACATTTTCCCCATTGTCTTGGGGATTAACATTCTGCTCCTTGTTATTTATGCAAATTTTGGCAGCCCGCTTGAATTTCTCCTCAGAAAAGGGTTTTTTTTTTTTCTATTGCATTGTCAGGCTGCACATTTTCCAAGCTGTTATGCTTTGTTCCTCTTATAATTCTGAATGCCTTTAACAGCACCCAAGTCACCTCTTGAATGTTTTGCTGCTTAGAAATTTCTTCCATCAGATGCCGTAAATCATCTCTCTCAAGCTCAAAGTTCCACATATCTCTAGGGCAACGGCAAAATGCCACCAGTTTCTTTGCTAAAACACAACAAAAGTCACCTTTGCTCCAATTCCCAACAAGTTCCTCATTTCCGTATAAGACCACCTCAGCCTGGACTTTGTTGTCCATATCGCTGTCAGCATTTTGGGCAAAGCCATTCAACAAGTCTCTAGGAAGTTCCAAACTTTCCCACATTTTCCTGTCTTCTGAGCCCTCCAAACTGTTCTAACTCTTGCCTGTTACCCAGTTCCAAAGTTGCTTTTTTTTCTCTTTCAAAGACGAGACTCTCACTTTTTTTGTTTTTTGGTGGTGAAGTAGGCTGTGAACCAAGACTGCCTGACACCAAAACCCATGCCCTAGGCTCAGGCTGCCTTCTGAAATCTCTTCACAGGGAAACAGAGAGGTCAGTGGCCCTGACCTCTAGGCCAAGAGACTCATCTTCCTCTTTGATTGAACATCAAATAGGATTCCATCCACATAGCCAGGGGGGACTAATCACTGGCTTTAATTACAAGTCAGCTAGGGCCTCACTCTTTCCTAATGAACACTCCCCACACTCCCCAGACTGCGGGATCTGCTATCACTCCTGCGTGGGCAAACGGGAACATCTGCAACCCATGATTACACACACTGCATCGTGCTTGGAAAATGCTCGGCTCTTCCCTCCACAACCCCAGTCACTTTGACGGATTGACATAGTCAAGGGCTGAAATTTGAAAGGGAAAATTCAGCTTGAGCTTGGGCAGAACTTTCAAAGATTCAGAGCCAAGTCACAACAGGGAACTCTCAGGTGTCAGCAAGTGTCCTATAACTCTGGGCAGGCTAATTCTCTTTTTCTTTCTCTCTCTCTCTCTCTTTTTGAGACAGAGTCTTGCTGTATTAACCAGGCTGGAGTGCAGTGTCAAGGTCTCTGCTCATGGCAACGTTCACCTCCTGGGCTCAAGCGATCCGCCCACCTTACCCACCCTCTCTCACCCCCCACCCGAGTAACTGGGAGTACAGGCACACATCACCAAGCCCAATTACACTTCGCATTTGTTGTAGAGACAAGTTTTGCTGTGTGCCACGGCTGGTCTCGAATCCTGAGGTCAAGCAATCTGCTGGCCTCACCCTCCCAAAGTGCTAGGGTTACAGGCTTGAGCCACTGCCCTCAGCCCAGCTGATGGTATCCTTGTGAGGTTGTCATGGCCAGTGCGGATGAAAGTGTGTGGTTCACACAATGGCACCAGTCCATCGTTTCTAGTCTATAGTGTACATCACTCATGAACATATGTGCAAAGTTTGTAAATCTTCAAGTTTTCTGTTACTTTTTTTTTTTTTTTTGAGAAGGAGTCTTGTTCTATCACCCAGGCTGGAGTGCAGTGGCAGGGTCTCGGCTCATTGCAACCTCCACCTCCCAGGTTCAAGCGATTCTCCTGCCCCAGCCTCCTGAGTAGCTGGGATTACAGGTTCCTGCCACCAAGCCCAGCTAATTTTTGTATTTTTAGTAGAGACGGGGTTTCACCGTTTTGTCCAGGCTGGTCTCAAGATCCTGACCTCTGGTGATCCGCCTGCATCGGCCACTCAAAGTGCTGGGATTACAGGCATGAGACACTGTGCCTGGCCAATTTTTCTGTTACTTCTTTATGCATTTATTGAATTCTTTCCTGTTAAATGTGAAAATTTGTGTTTTGTATTTTGTGTTTGATTTCATTTTCTCTATAATTGACATAATTATATTTATCTTCCCACCTAAGAGGAAGCATCCTCCACCACACCGCTCAGCAGGACAGTTTACTCATCAACTTGCCATGGTTTTTGCCAAAGCCAAGATTTTGAAGCAAGTGTCAATCTGGAGCACCAAGGCTCAGGCCATGCAGCCTTCGCCAGCCTCATTGTCACTTGGTGTCTGCGGTCAGGAGTTGGGGAGCAGGTAGCAACATCCCAGCCTTGGGATGGCTTCCCTTTTCTTCTTTGTAACCAGATTTTTGAAACATTGTTAGTTTATTTTTATTTTACTTTTTTTTTTTGAGATAGAGCCTCATTCCATCGCCCAGACTGAAATGCAGTGGCACGATCTTGGCTCACGGCAACCTCCGCCTCCCGGGTTCAACTAATCTTCTCACCTCAGCCTCCCAAGTAGCTGGGACTATGCCAGGCTAAAATTGCTAGTTTCATCAGGCTCTGATCCACAATGGCCTTTTGCTATCAGCCTCTTGAGAAATCTCTCTCTTTTTGTATAAATAACAAAGTTTTAAAAATGTATTTTCTGAAATCAGTGTTTTACACACCAAAATTTAAAAAAA